TGCTGGAAGCCACCACAACACCGAGCCGACCACAACCAGCTGTCACGGCACACTCTGACCGACCGTGACCGAGTCGTCAAAGAGGTCACGTCTGCACTTGATGCAATGAAACAACAAAAGGAAAATATCTGGGCAAATGTACACAGATTAGGGGTATAGGTGAGGAGAAAAGGAAATAAAATAAAGAACAGCCTGAATAAAACAAAAACAAAAATTATTCTGAAAAACTGTACATGTAAACATCACACTTTCACTGAGTCCAAAAACCAGAGGGGAAAAATACAAAGCTTCACACAGGTTTACAGTACAACCCCCTGCACAGAGCTACAGTCTCTTATCAGTGCAGGAGAGGCAACAATTGAAATAATATAAATAACAATAGAAGTAATACAGACCACCACCAAATGATAAGTTAAAACAGGCAAGGGCTAAAACCACTTTGATTTTTTTTTTTAACAGTGCTGTACCCACAGAAAAAAAAAGAAAGGTTTAAAACATCTTTTATCACTCTTTGTACAGCTATACAGTACATTTATCTGACCACTTTAGCAATCCACAAGCTACCAGGGCATTTTTAATCAACACCAATAGATTACATTGTCCAGTCAATACAAAGAGAAAAAATCCATTGGGCATTATTGGAAAAAAAAACAACAACATATGACGACACGCGGTCGTCGTTGATCACAGTAACTCCAGCACACAGCTAAAAATGTTGCTCAGCGTGAGACAGTTTACAAATCTGCAAGCTAAATGTCTGTGGAAAATGAGACAAGATCAACATGGCATCACTGAGTTAGACATGAAGTGTAGAGGATCTGCTATGGCTACAGTAACAAACGAGGAGGTTGGAGGAGACGAGGAAGACGTGTGAGGACTTGGGGGTCCCACGTATATCTATGATTACGTCTGTTAGAGCCCAGAGGGGTGTTTCATAAAGCACGATTATTTCAAAAAGTCAGGCAATTCTGCTTCATAAAGGAGGTTTAAATAAGTCTGATCTAAGTTACCATGGAAACCCATCCCTACAGACTACCGTGGTCCAGGCTCAGCTTCACCTTAAACAGTGTCAGACTGAAACATGGCGTTCTCTCAAAGGTTCCTCCCCTGAAGGATCCTCTTTACGGCCGCACCGTACGTGAACACGAATCTGCTCGCACAAAAATGTAGGTCACATAACTGACATGGGATGTGTTTAATTGCATAATTTAAATCTGTGCTCGTATCTGTCAACATACAGGCTTCTGCAATCAAATTAAAGCCGAACTTCACCATTTCTTCTCTCTTTAAAAGTCATTAAATAAAATTAAATCCATTCATTACATCTGCAGCAAGTGGCAGACAACCTGTCAGAAGATATTTAAACAGTATTTTCTCTATATGGAGGCAGCTGAGTCACTTGTACAAACCAAGTAACACAATCCAGCTGATAATCTAACACATTTTTTGGCCACTTGATGGCAGCGGAAACAAGTTGCAACACTGACATTCACTTTTAAGATGACATGGCAAACTTGTTATCAAACAGTCGCTTATTTATACATCCAGCAGTTACGGAGCAACATTATTATCATCAATTTGGAGTCATGTTTCTGCAGCGCATGAATTTAAGGTCAGTATTCACTCTTATTTTAGCTCTTTTTTTGGTCTCTACCAACTCCTGAGGGAAATATCTTGCTCCTCAGTGGATAAATGCATCACCAGCTAGTCGCTAACTGTGTCTCTGTCTGCAGTTTGGTGCTGAGCAGGTAGTATACAATGTGTTTTTGTGTTTTTTACTGCTGGCTGCGGCTGTGAGAGTAAACCAAAACAGTAAAGTCGTGGCCAGACAGCTAAACAATCAGCTGAAACTGTCTATAAAGCTCCGTAAAGCTGCGGGGAGCTGCAGATTCAGTTGATGATTCTCTGTAGTTTCAACATTAGGAGCCCTCTCACATTACACATTGTCATTTGACACTTTTTCTTATGAAAATATATTCATAATAACTGTTTTAAGGTTCTAAAAATGCTAATTATCTAATTGTTTTGGCATAAAAAAGTCCTATTTGATACATGTTTAATTGTTATTGTAATTCATGCAGGATTTAAACCCACAATGTCAGAGCACAGCAACAAGCAGAGCTAACAGAGGAATGAGTCTGAGCTTTTCTCCAGCACACAGCCAGAGGCTCTGTTTTATGTTGTTTATTCCAGTGATGTAAGTTTTCTGCAGTGATATTTTTATGTTTTAATATGTGTTGCTTTGTGGCTGCAGAACTGTGCTCTTTTGTCCCAACATGTCAGTTTGTGTGTTTCAATGTCATGAAATAAATAAACCAGACTCAACTCCGACCGCTCACATTTTCTCTAAACCAACTTTATGAAACAGATTCATCCTTGTTCAGCTCTTTTTACGAGACACCCTGCTTTTTTTTTTTTTAAAGGCGCCTCCTTTATGAAACACCCCTGAGGTGGACCATTCAAACTGATGAGTTCAAACTGAGCTCCGATAAGCTTTTCAAACAGGAGAAAAAGGAGCTGTTTGCTTTTTTTTATTTTTTATATATATAGTCATTGATAAAGCAGACTGAGAGCTGCTTCTGCATCAAACTGTCCTTTGTTATAATCAGTTCTCACTATGTTTGAACTGAAGCTGATATTACAAATGAGGTAAAGACACACTCAAATCACTGTGTTATGTTACCTTAATCCTGAGCTATAAAGTGCTTCCAAACTTGCAATAGATAATTTAAATGTAAAATGTAATGCAGCCCAATCATGACATGGCAATAAAATGTAAATCCAACTCTGAACCGGTCTGGCGGTGGTGAGAAGTTTATGTGAATGACGGACTGATTAATGATAAATAACTGATAAATTTTGATAGATTTGTGATAAATACAGAAATATATCTCTCTTGAACTTTGACAAATCAATAAGGTGTGAGCCGCTTTCGGGGCTGCTTGAAGAGTCATTGTCCTAGTTTGGAATGTTTCAGCCAACTGAATTAAATCTTCACAGATTGATGTTTGTACAAACTGGGTCACTCCACTTACACACAAACAGAAAATCAACATACTGTCAATACCAACACTTACAAAATAAAAATACAAAAAATAAAATAAAATACTCCACATACACACACTTACACAACAGTTCTTTGTGCTGAGTGACTCACCATTAAATGTGTCTGTTGTGAGACTGTGCTCTAGATCGGCTTTGAGTACTCGTGTGCCCTCAGACCACACACACACACACACACACACACACACACAGACATACACACACAAACACACACATACACACCATAGCAGAAAGCTGGGAGAGTAAACTGTGATGCGATTACATCTTTTTTTTTAAGATTGTCTCTTGCTTCTTTTCAAACAGTGTGTTTTTCAGACATGATATCAATGAGTGGAGATGAGGGAGAGAGGTCAGAGGGGATGATAGAGACTGAGCAGCCCACACACACACTCGCACTGCATCCAGTAAAGCCATATGGATGTTAGGTTGATACCGCTGCATTCATGTGACTGTCAGGAATGGATGCATGTGAGCTCAATGTGCCAGTTTTAACTTAAAAAACAATTTACTCACAGAACAATTCCTACACAAAATGACCCCAAAATCACTTTAAAGTAAAAAATAAAAAATAAAAAAAGACGTGCAACATTAAGTCTCATTTTTCTGCCAGGTCTCATTTCCTTTGACTGATCCCAATACATGAAAGTGCCTCAGTTATGAGGTTAGCAATAAAGATCAGTATTAACAACAAACAACAACATTGAAATTGGCTACAATGCTGCATGGGATATCATTTCTTTTTTCTTTTTTTCTTGTTTTTTTTACAACTTGACAGTTACAGCAGGAGGAGATTGTGGTAAAGTACTCCCTGTTTTGCCTTAAAACACTTCAGCAAGTCTGATAAAGTCCTTTCAGTAAGCACACCATTACTGATTATCTTCAATATTGCACCTTTTTCCACTGGTTATAAAAACCAAAAGTCTAAACAATATATTAATCTCCTTTTTTCCCTGACAGGTGTCTGTGACCTCAATTTGCATACCCATGCTTCTTAAAAGCCTCCTTCCTTTTTTAAGTAATGAGAAATTGCCCGTGATAGAAATATTCATAATAAAATAATTGAAAATGAAGTCATGTTGGGTAATGAGTCTTTGTCTCTTAGTCACGACATGCCCTAAGAATCTGGAAACCACTCCAACAGAGGAGGACCGAGGTATAGTTTTGACCACACGACTTGACTGTTCTGGCCAAAATGTACAGGAGAAAACTGATAAACACTGTCCTGTTTTTCTTTTCCTTTTCTCTACTTTTTTTTATGCGCATGTGTAAGTCAGCACGTCCTTCAGTAGCTGTTGAGGTTAACAGGTAAGTTGATTTAGCAGCGATTCAACTATGGACTTTCAGAACGCAATGCAGAAGTGAATTCGGAGAGAGTTATCATTTAGAAATGACTCAACTCAGACGACCTAATCAAATCATGCCACTGTACAGCATATTTTACATTTGTGTAAAGATAGAAACAAGGTAATGACACTAAATCACTGCTATTTAACCATTAATTTGTCCAAACATCTGCACAAATGAGCCAGTGTGGCATTATGGTCACAGCAAATTTAAGGTTAACACCTCTGGTACACCACTGTGCACCAATGCAGGTCTTTTTTTTTCACATAGATCATCGCTTCCTGAGACGAATGGAGGTTGAAGTGGTAAAATGAACTGAATGGGATGAATGGCTACAGATAACAGGGCACTAAGGTCAAAGTGAACCAAATGCATAAATAAACATTTTTCAGCCTGTGATATGTTCTGGCCCGTCCAAATACATAAACATGTGGGAATAAGAAAAGGTACCATACCTACAGGACCCACTGTGCGCTGCAGTATCACTCGTGTACATTTGTGTCTTTGTATGCAAGTCTGCCCAAATATGTGTGACCGAGAGCGACAGATGTGGACAGGCTAGGAGAAGGTCTCGCCACGGTTTTGGCTCGGACTCAGTTCTGCTGCAGGATCAGGTTTTCCAGCTCGTCTGCTGAGCGGAGCAGGAAGGCGGCAGACTCCCGGTATCCTGCGATAAGCTGCCTCACTGCTGTGACTTCCGGAGGGCTGAGCTGAGCCGAGGCTCCGCCACCGCCGCCTCCCTGACCGTGGCTGTTGGAGCTGGAGGTGGAGGAGTTTGGGCCGACTGCCTTCATACTCAAATCTGTGGGACCTGGGGGTTTAAGAAACAGATACAAAGACACATCAGGGAACATGTTATGCTAAGAAATCAAACTATAAGAAATAAATATTCAGGAACTAATGGGAAAAAAACTTGCTCATCTCATATTTCAGAGATGCATCAGAGAAGAGCTCAAAACCTTGAAGGAAAGATGTTGATTTATCAAAAAATGTTGATGGAAAAAATTTATTGAAAGCTCAGTTCCCCAAAAAAAATTTTTCTGTCACCTCTAGTTGTATCTAAGACAAAACAATGCCTTGAGCTACACGCTGACTTTGGCATGATAACATGCTAACTAGCTGAGGCTGATGGGAACGTGATTAGCTTTGCAGGTATTCAGTCAAAGCATCAGATAAAGTGAAATTTTAAAGGACTAAAGGCAAAGTTACAGGATCACTAAAGTTAGTCGGATACAACACCTTGGAACCTTGAATGTCTGGTTAACATTTAGTACTAATACATCCTGTAGATGTTGAGATATTTTACTGAATAATTGCAAATTTTTGAGATTAAAAGTCTGTGGATCACAAAAGCCGTTAGGATTCACTCTCTGGGCAACATGAATGTACAAAATCTGTATTGTGGTTCATATCTGTATGTCTACTGATGTACTGTGGTGTTTTTTATTGTATTTTATGATACTTAAAGCTGTATGTTTTAATTACACTGTTCATGTAAAGCCAAACTAGAGGGGTTTAATTACTCTCTTAATAACTCTCTGTATAGTTTCATGCTTTGTATTGGAACTATGTTAAATTGCATCGTCCATATCAATTAAAATAAATTCAAATATGCTGAGACATTTCAGTCTGGACCCGACCGGCCAACATAATAAAACTGTCATTCCTACAGTCAATAAAATTATTCAGCAATTCTCTTTCTAAAGACAATGTCCCTGTTATTTTAGACAATCCACCAACACCACTTTAAATGGATATACTTTCTGCTGAAGAAAAAGTCACCCGCGTGTTCTTTGGGTTATTCAGAGAAACAGGGACATTATTTCTTCAAAGACATGTAGCTATTACATTTTTTGAATGTTTTTTTTTTAATCAGTGCTGTGAGTACTACAAATAAAAAGTGATTCATATCAAGGATGAAACTCAACCAACCCTTTAATTAGAAGAGCAGTGCTTTGAATACCCTTTCTTATCTAAATACACAGCATTAAAAAGACACATTATTTGATTGACGGAGGCTCCTCACCGTTGGTTTGTGCAGCACCAGAGTTCTGCTGGTTGCTGCCGACTGTACCATATCCCCGCAGGTTGTAGTTGAGGCCTCCATTGGTGTAGAGCTGGTCTTGGGCAAAAGCTGCGCTGGAGATGGAGAACCCTGACGGGGTCACAGAGGCCGGGTCCCTCGAGTTGGGCTTGTCAACGGAAGCGGGCTCATCCTATGAGAAATTAAATGTTTCAATTTGGGCACAATATTGTAGTTTATGTTGTGCAGTTTGGTGGTAATGATGCGTGACTGTCCTCGCACATTCCCTAATCCCTGCTGGGCATATTCACAAACACCAACTGCCAAGACATTTACCGTGTACACATCGAGTCGCATCCTCTTGGCAGCATTTCGAGTTTCACTGTCACAGGCAGCAGCGAGGATGTTCTCAGCCATGGCAGAGGTGAGGTGAGGAGGTGTTGGTCGTATCTGGCAACAAGGGTCAGCGAGATTTTTGCTCATTATGTTTTATTTCTTAGACTTACTGATTGTTTGTTAGATTTGTACAGACAACATTTTAGCTGAGGACACTTTATACCTCAAAACCGCCTTTTTTCATGCGGCGACAGGATTTGAGGTAGGTACGGATGCGCTTGCGGGAGCGCTCCTGGAACTCTGGGAACTGGCGGCTACAGGACTCAATAATGGCCTGGATCTTCTCCTTGGGTTGTTTGGAGATGGGCACCATGCGGTCCAAATTCTCATCCACGAACAGACGCACAAACATCTGACAGAGACAGAGAGAGGGGGGAGGGGAGAAAGAGGATGTAGAGCAGAAAAAATGGAGTGGGGGTGCAGGGTGGAGAGAGAGAGGGGTGTGAGAGTCGAAAACAAAAGAGAGGAAAGGGAAGGCAGGGGAAGGGGGAGCGTTAGAGGTAGAGCGGAAGAGGAGAGGATAAAGAGGGAGGGGGAGGTGATGAAAACAGGAGCGATGGAAATTGAATCATTGCTCATATTCAGGACAATATTTCTCGTGATTGCTTTTTTGCAACTCTACTGTTCTATATGTTTCCATTAGATTCAGAAATGCACAGATAGTAGTTCTCACAGAAATAAGGCTGGCTGATATCCATCATACTGGAGAGCCACAGATAACAACAGCACTGTATTGTATCTATGTGGATTTAATGAAACTGCAACAGTTAGACAGGTTACTTACATTGAAGGCTTTGAGTCTCTCAGGATCCATACCCTCGGCGTCATTGATCTTGTCACTGTCATCGTGGTCATCGTGATCATCGTCGTCGTCGTCAATTATCTGTGCCCGACCAGAGGTCAGATCCTCTGCACTCATGCTCAGTTCAGTTTTCACAGAGTCATAGCTTCCTGAGCTGTAAGGAGGGGACTGGAAACACACAGAAACACACAAAAATACACATTTTACAGATTTTACAGACACAAGAGCTGTTTGTCTTTACTGTTCATTGAGAAAGAAAAAGTTTCTTACCTTGTTGGCATACTCGGTTTTGATGGGGTACTTTCTGTTGGGGTCTGCGGGGTAAGAGTTTGGTGGCGAGCTCCCTGCAGGCAGCAGTCTGTCGCTCAGATTGACCGGCTGCTGATCCTCTGAAGAGGATGAGGGTGAGGTGGTACTGAAGTCCAGTGGAGCGCTCAACCCATTCTCTGCCATCTCCCCGTAAGGGGCCCCACCATCTGGGGGGTTCCCGCCCACAGCCAGCACCTCCGGGGAGGTCAGGGCCGGCAGCCCGCTCTCTGAGGAGTCGTCATCTGGACGAAGGGGAGCAAGAAGAGGACAGGGGAGAAGACGCAGATACAGAGATGAGATGCGCAGATGTTTTTCATCATTTAGTACAAATGTGGGTTTGTTTACTACAATGGGAACTATTTCTGTCTAACAACAGAGTGGGTGTGTGACTACAGGGGGGTGGGGCCTTTCTGCCTCATAGGGTGCTCTCTGAAACTGTTAAGGAAGTGGGTATTGGGGTCAACTGTCAAGATAAATAAAAGTTAGGGTTGTTGTGAAGAGCAGGTCTGGAGGAGGAGCTAGCTGAAGAGGAGAAGGAAGTAGGAGGAGCTTGATCTGATTAGAGCCTATATAGAGAGGTTTTAGCACAGGTGTGACACTTTTTGCCTAACCTGCAGCAGAAACCTGGACTCTCACTGGCAGCCATATGTGGAAATATGAGTTTCTTTGTACTTAGTAGTGCATTTATGTTTGCAATATATTAATGCTCAAGTTACTTATGTTAAGTTAGAAACTGAGAATGATTGCACATTGTGTTCATTCTTATTAAATTCAACATAGCCAGATAATTATTCCATATATATTATATTTATTTTATGATAATTAATACGTGGCACACATTTTCTGTTTAGATAAAACCATGACTATGCAGTAAATTTGTGAAAAAGTGGATTCTTCCGGTGTCTCTTTGTGCCTGACCGGATCCCTATAGTATTAATCATAGTCCCTGGTTATCAGCCTACCTCTCATACAGTCCTGAACAACTCACAGGGTAGAAGGAAGGGGATCTTAGAAAGTTTCAACAGTGAAGATGAAAAGAGATGAGGAGGGACTGGAGGGGGGAAGGTAGCCTTCACTTCCTGGTGTGTACAAATTAAAGCTTTTAACCCAGTTTAGTTGTGCCTCTACACGTGTTCTGTGCACACCTATGTTCACTCAGTACAGAGTAATTCTCCCTTTCAATGTTTTGCCCTATTTTCAGTCTTTTCTATAGTGGTTCCTAATCTATGAAGGTTAATATCAGCCTTTGTCCTACTTTTCTAAGCCCTGTACCCTGAGAGAGAGAGAGAGAGAGGGGTGCACAATGGACTGGGGTTGCGGTGGTGTCCCACCCCCTGTAAGAGTGGATTTATTTGGATTAGTCCACTAAGAACGAGGCAAGCTGTTTCCTGTGTAGCACCAATCTGTACCCTTTATATGTAACGAGTTTACCTTCAAATTCCAGATGTAAATACTAACTAAAAAGGACCCAAAACAATAACAGCTATTACAGCACAAGAGGGTTATGTCCACAGTTAGTGATGTCTTACCGTCCTCTTCTTTAACGGTGGCTGTTTGGTTGCTGACTCTCTCTCCGTTAGGTGGACTGGGCTCAGGCACTGGGGGCTGCTCAGCTGCGATCCATGTAGGCTCAGCACTGTTCATGTCCTCGCTGCTCACCGAACTGTCATCCTGAAGGGAGACGGCGGGAGAGAAGAGAGAGGGATTCTCACACTTTTGACAAAAACTTCAGTTTCCCATTCATGCAGGAGAGATAGAGGGAGAAAAAGAAGATATCACAATGTCTCTTTGCATCTCACACACTTTTTGAAGTTTATCTTCAAACAATACTGACACCCCCTTATGTGCGATGGAAAGCAGTATTGGTTGCTGTAATCATTCCTGCTGTCCATACAAGCCACAAAGAAATTCCTGTGAGCGATGTGGTACAATATCCACAGTCTGTAATGAAGACAATGCATTTTAAATCAAGTGGTTACTCTTCAAGGTTAGTATTCCTAGCATTACATTCCTTCTTTGTGCGGTATTTTTTTGACTTTCTTGTAGCTTCAGTTGAATTTGAGATTGCATTTTTGCACAAAAGTGACTGACTGTGGGTTTTGTCCCCCGTCAAAAGGAATCTCTTTGAGGCCAGTATGGGCAGCAAGTACAATTACAGCACCAAATAACGCTCTCGACATACATTTATGGCTTGAAAGGGTTGTGAACCTACCCTTTAATGGACATTTTGTTTATTTAATAAAACATGCTGGAGTCAACCAACAGTAAACGCAGGAGCCTCCTTGTTAAGTAACGTTTCTTGGAGCACTGCTATTTTTAACTCCTGTTACGTAGAGACCCTAAAGATGCTTGTTGTGGCGTAACACGAGTATGAGTAAAGCATGGGGGTAAGGATTAGCAAAGGAGAGCGGCGTAATCTCTCAAACTATTCAAAGACCGAGCTTCAAACTACAGAAATTACATCTGCTGAACAGCCAGGACCACATTTGTGACCAGTGCTGAGCTTTACAGAGCGACACAGGCCAGTTTACGTCATGCTAACATAAATGGTGACTTAACTATTGGCCTGCGTGCACGCTGTCATGTGTCAGCTGGCAGAAGGGGGCAAAACTAAATGGATGGAAACAGAGCAGAAATGCATCTCGTCATCTCATCATTCCCCCCGCACGAGCACACAAATAGGCCTAAACTCCTGGGAGTATGCATCCGTCCCTCTGTAAGGGGTTTTGAGGAGGACCAAAATGCTCAGTGACAGCTCCATTAGGTACCAAGTGAGCATTGAAAAGAGAGCGAAGGAAAGAGTCTATAATTAAAGGTTCTAAGTTGTTGGAAATGTAGCATCATTAATGCTTTAGGAAAGTATATAATTGATAAAATGGGGGGAGGATTACTTTTAAAACTGAGACCAGGTGAGCCAAGATATGAAGTTGAAGCACTTGGTGACCTTTTACTCAGATATTTTAGAATAAACTTTTGTTTCACCAATTAAGACAAACAACAACATACAGTACAGAATATATTCAGAAGTTGATACAACTATTTTGATAATCTACAATTTGGTTAATTGTACAGATTAACACTCAGTGATTCAAGCTCTTTTAATTATTTGTCTTATATGTGGTAGTAAATGAAATATCTTTGGGTTTTAGTCTTTATGGACAAAACCAGCAATCTTGAGATATCATGTTGGACTTTGATTTTCACTATTTCAGTGGTGTTTTTATAACTACAGTAGGCCTGTATCCAGTTCTGAGACATGTTCATTTTGTCTTTTTGTATGTAGTTTGTATCTTTACCACATGTCAAAGAGACAAAGTTGTGCAGAACAACATTCAAACAGTGGAGGAGTGACTGCTGCAGCAGACTTAAATGCACACTCATAAATATTCTGCTTTTGTCAACAGGACAAACCTTGCTGCTTTTAAACTGCTCTGTAATCCACCACAGCAGAAATATGGAACAAATCACTACAAGTCTCCTACAACACTGCAATAACCCTCTGTGATGGTTAATTATTAAATTATTGGCCTGCTCATTCTCAGTCTGCACACAGATGCGTCCAACAGCCTGAGCATTTGTTAATTTGTACTCACCCGCAAATCACAGTCTGGGTCATTGTTCCGGATAATCCTAATTATGCGTGAGTGAGGTCGACATTATCATCATCAAGTACCGCTCCCTGCACTTTAGTGACAGTGGTTTCTGAGTGTTTCTGTCACAGCCACACATAGGAGTGGTCTCACACATGACGTCACTCTGCACATCTACTAATCCTCATTTCACACTGAGCTCCTCCTCCCAGCAGGACGACTGCTCTGATTCTTTAATATTGAATTAAAAGTTGAGAGGAAGGATGTCTCATTGTGCCTGCACAAAGTGTTTCTTCCTACAGCGTCGATGAGACTTAAAAAGAAAATAACCAGACAATCTGTGCAGTCAATACAAATACAATTATGGTGAAAAGGAGATCTTAACAACGGCTGGCTTTCTAATTAATCCATCAGGACACCTTGTATGTGTGCCCACACTTCACAAACATTCACGGCCCACTTGCAGGGAGAGGTACTTACCCTCTCAGTGGCAGTCATGCACTGCAGTTTCATTTGTTTCAGGTAGGTGGCAGTAAGAGGCATGTTGTAATCAATGAGGTCCGGGACCAGTGAGGTTGGTCTGTCATTTTCTGACAAAGAAAGCAAAAAACATCACAGGATATTATAAATAATGATTGTGAATTGAATGTTTAATAAATATAGAAGAAAGCAAATGAATCAAGTTAGAACTAATCCTCAGTGAGTCATGTCTAGTATATTTACTTCAGTACTGTATAGTTCTTTTAAGTACAATTTTAAGATGCTTGTACTTTACTTACTATAACTTTATTTTACTTCTACTCCACTATATTTTACTGAGAAATATTGTACTTCTTATGTCTGACAGATATACTTTAGATTCAGATTTTAAGTATAAAACATACAATCAGTTTATTAAAAAATGCCTCATTATAGATTGGAGTACCAAACTGTATGAAATAGTTGACTCCACCTTGACCAACTACACCATATACAAATGCTTCTTCCACCAAAACCCACCCAGAAAATAAATTAGTAAACAGAGATTTGATTACTTAAAATAACTTTGATATTATAAGACATATAAACCCCTGTACAAGACTGTATTTGTGAGATTCTGAGGTGGACAAAATATGAATATATCAATATCTTTGGGCCCCCCTCAGACAACTCAGCTGCCTCTCACTCCCATACTTTTAACCATTAGAAAGAACCATTAAACATTTGCCATGAATCAGCTATTACCATGTTACATATTGTTAGATCAGTATCACTTAATTGATACATTGTTCAAGTAATATTCATACCGGTTTAAATAAACAGTCGGATAGTATGTTCCATCTTTTCTGAGTTTTGTGCCAAAGGAATTAAAGAACTGTCCCATATAGACGCAAATAAAAGGCCAGACTATTCATTTAAGTTTTACAGTGTTAGAATTCAAACTGGACTCCAATATAATACATTTCTGTGCCTTTTACAGTCTGAGCAGATCAAATAGACAAATTCTGACTGAGGCAGAAGTGCTGCTGTATCCTGCCAAAGGTTGAAATCCAACCAAGTAGCCTTGACTGTAGGAAACAAACTGAAATCATACATCTGCCGTCTGCAGTCTCCAGACCGACCACTAGAGGGATTCTCTGATCGTTCCAGTGGGTCCATACAATCCCAGAGATGTGGTCCTCTTGAGTCTTTGTTACATCATGTCGGTGATGGATATATACAATATGTTTTATTAATGATGGTTTGATTCAAAAACTCTTCAAAGTACAAAAAAACCTAAGATCACATCAGCTCATATTTAGTGTCTGACAGGACAATGGAGAACTTGCCATGTCTGTCATTCAACACCTCCTCCTTACGTGATAAAAACCAAATAAACATTTCTATGAATCTTATGATGAAATTATCCCACAATAACAACAATGTCTGACTGCTGTAACAGAAGATTGATTGGTTCATACCATCTCAGCATGCATTGCAACATCCTAATTAACCGTTTTCCATGTCAGTATGTCAAAGGATGAGAGAATTATCCACTCTTAAAGGTTAATCTCAAAAATAGCATATCAGTTAATGATGTCTCCAGAATTAGCGAACCATCCACAGGTCAGATGTGTGCCATTACCTTTGAACTCTGCCGTGCTGGGGTTGATGTGCATCCTCTTCTGACACTCTCCACAGCTCATTAGGAACCGAGTCACCGCCTCTCTGGGCAGGAAGGCGTAGGTCTCTGCTATCTGTGCCGGGAGAGTGAGCAGAGGAGACTGGGTTACGGCAACAACAAAAAAATGGCAGCAGATACGGCTCAGGCTGTGGCTGAACTCAAAATGTGTGCAGGTGTTGTTTTTTTTCGTACCATGCATGTGTGAAAGTTTGGGGTCAGTGATTATGTGTTATCTCGATGTGGCATGAGGAGGAATCCTCCCTCTGGGCGATCTCTCATGCCTTGAGATGGCCTAATTCCAGATTCCCTTGTACACATTTCTGCTGCGATACCCTAAAACACAAGTGTTTGTCATCTCTCTTCCTCTTCCTGCACTCTCAGGTGCGGTCGACTCATATCTTCACCTCTCAGTCTCATGCTCTGCCTTCCTCCTCTGTTTGTCTCCGCTGCTATGCCACCCTCCCCTCCTCGCCCCCTCTGGCGTTTCCCTGTAAAATGCGACCTTCACGTGACCATGGAGAGGCAGCAGGGGTGCCCACCCCCACCGGCCCATTGCCGCCACCACCACCATCACCACTGCCACAGCTCCCTATCCCCTTTGCTCCGCCCCCCCTCCACCCCTCATGGCCCCTTGAGGCAGCTGAGAGGGAAAGGCCACCCAGAGGAACGTGCGCCTCCCAGAAGGCCACAGTGACAGTTCCATATTATGCCCTGCCCCAGTGATGCTGCCTCCTCAAAAGGGTACACTCTATGAGACGTGACAGGACCTCTCTACAGGGCAGGAGGAATTGGCTCTATGATTTTTTTTTCCACTCCTGGGGGGCGAGGGAGGAGAGGAGGGGTACCAAAGTCCTGCTAAACCCCCTAACACTGCATTAATGCAGCATGCAAAGCCCCTCGTTTTGTCAGGACACCACACCCAAACCGAGACCACACACCTCAGTTTGTTAAGTAAACTCATATACTGCCTTTGTTCCAGAGTCAGTTTTCCTGTTAAAAGTAGTTCCCGTGGTAACTTCTGATGCTAAAAATGATATATTGTGTTGCCAGAGCTAAGATGTATAGCCTATTGTCTCTGACTGGAAAAAAAATCTGATGGCCTCTGGGTGCTGCCTTTAGTTAGCGACGTTTGGACGCTTTGAGCCCCTAAAAGGAATTCTGACCTCACTTTGCGGACCAAATTTATAAATAAGACCGGACTGTTGATTCTTTTTTTAAAACTCACTCCAGCTGCACTTCTACAAAGTACAGCAGAGGCTGATGGGAGTGTCATTAGTTTTGAACGTCTTTGGGCCGGAGGCTCTAGAGGAACATTTAGAAGATCACCAGAGTTAGGGTTTATCCTCTGGAGACCATGAATGTCTGTACATTTCATGAAAAACCATTAAGAAGTTGTTATTTTAGTCTGGACCAAAGTTGTGGACGGACCGACTGACTGATTGTCATCCATAGAGCTGTGTTCATGTATGTCCTGTATCCTCACAGAGCTGCTAGCACACACACAGATGTTTTCTGACAAAGTCCTTGTAAAGTCAGACAAAAATAAAAAAGGTTTCTGTGTAGGCAACCTTTCTTTTTCTTTTGTGTGCAATTGTTTTCATGCACCACAGGCAACCCTGCCCGTGATGTAGATATTGATGAAAAGACAAGAGGGTAATGTTGACTTTACTGAGATAATATATTCAATATCAACAAGTATAAAGAGATGCTGAGACTGAGAGCAGTGCCAGGTTAGCTGCAACCTGCAAGTACCCACCGCTTTGTAGGTCTTCTTTTGGCCTGCATGTTTGGGTGCTCTGCCCGGGTCGGCGCCCATCTCCACATGCATGGCATAGATGATGTCGAAGAAGTCTTCTACCACGGCTACACGCTTCAGGGAGGAGTTGTCTTGGGCCGAATTCCCATCTGAACACTGAAAACACAGACAGAAGACTGGAGGTTAGTTTAATTCCCCGCCTCAGGCTCACAGACATGTGTTGTATCATCTACAGCGGGAAATCTCTGATATTACAGCTATAGTTATATTCCTGCATCCATGTGATGTGAGAAGGACCTTTAAGGCACATGAGTCATGGGTCATGTGGTTACAGACAGTCATGCACAAGGTGTCCTCACCAGCACTGACAAAAAAAAAAACTTGAAACAACCTTTGTGTTGTCCAGACCTCCTTCCAGCAGTCATTGTCTTTACATTTCTCTCTCAGGTGGAGAAGTCTCGGCCCGGCCATCACCCCATCTCTGCAATGTTTAAAAATAACACCACAGACTCTGTACAGGACCGACAGTCCCTCCTACCACCACCTCTGGCGCCCGTGCTGCTGACCCTGTCGCCATAGAAACTGCCACTGATTTCTCCCGGGCAGGTGTGCTGGGCAAAGGGTCACGTGACACGCCGTGCAAGTGGGATCGCCAGGACAACAGCCTCCATCCGCAGCACCACATGGGGCTTTTTCTTTCCTTTCTGCCTCCATCTTTTTCCTCCAAGAAACTCTCTCATCCCCTTCATTCCCTCCAGACAAACAGTCAACACTTTGCATTTTCCCACTTATCTTTATATTTCTGCACCTGCTGATATTTCAAAGTGCCCCGGCAAGCATAAAATGGGGGAGAAAAATGGATTTGGGCATTTTAATTAGGTTTTTTTTTCATCTCCTCCACACAGATATGAGACAAGCTCTGACATTTTGTGGAGATTGGGTTCTAGGTGGGGAGTGATCTTTTCTTGTTTGAGTGAGAGGAGGGTCCGGAGTTCAAAAAGTTGTCCCCCTGGCATTGAGAAATCACACTTTTTTTTCTCTCCCTCCTCTCCTTGACATTTCTGCACAGTTCCTGGGATCTGACATTTCATTTTCTCGTTTTCCCCCAACTGCGTCCTCTCTCCTGCCTCCATGTCTTCATCCCCTACCTCCGTCCCGTCTTTCTTTCCTGCCCCCACCCCTCCACCTCCCACCCCCTCCTCTTCTCTCTCCTTGCTCCTGCTCTCCCAAGTGCGAGGTAATGATCGTTGCCATGGCAACTAAAACCAGCTCACAGAGCGGGTTTGTTTTAATCCGGCCCTCTCCCTCTCTCTCTCTCTCTCTCTCTCTCTCTCCCCCTCTCTCTTTCTAGCCACTCTCCCTTGTCAGCATGGGCTAAATGTAATGATAATAAATGAAATAATAGCGATCCTCCACCTCATCATCACAGCTGTAATCTATCGCACTTGGAGGTATCATCATCATTCCCCCAGTGACATCACCACCGCCGCCGCCGCCACCACTGCTGTTGCTGCTGCTGCTGCTGCTTGGGACAATGGTGTCAGGTCCATTCACGCTGGATTTAGATAATCTCATACAACTGTGGGGTGTGCAGTGCACCCACACTGCTGCTGCATCCTCCACTGAATTCTACCCCAACAAAATATCCAACATACACACTGGATATTCTGCTGGGAATGCATCCTCCCACCTAGAATTAGGGCTGCACAGTTAATCGAAATGTTAGCAAAATTGCAATATGGCCAAGTGCAATACTTGCAGAGGCTGCAAATTTTTTGATAAAAGGTCAAATGTGTGACAAAAGAGCAATATGATGAGGTACTTTAGTGCTGCAGAGATGCCCTGTCCTACAAAGCTTGTTCTCCAGATGTAACAAAACATGTTTGATTGGTTCAGACCCCAACAGAAAATTGTGATGCAGAAATTATCATCCCCACTAATTGTGAATTATATTGCAATATCTGTCAATACATCGAGCAGCCCTCCCTAAAATCCAACCAAAGAAACACACGTACATAATACTGCAACCCACCTGGTGGTAAACTTGGCTAATTCTGCTGAAGTCTGAGTCTAAGACCTGTATCTGCAATGCTTTTGTGCAGGGCTGCAAATATTATGTTCATTATTGATTTATTTTCTCAAAAAAATGCCCACAAATCACAATTTCCTAAAGCCTCAAGGTGACATCTTGAAATTTATTTTTATTTTGTCCAACAAACAGTCCAAAACCCAAAGATATTCAGTTTAAAATGATACAAAATAGAGATATTTTAAAGCAAATCTTCACATTTCAGAATCTGGAACTAAGGATTGTTTTGCATTTTTCCTTGAAAAAAACAATCAATTATCAGAATAGTTACTAATTACTTTATAAATACATTAATGAAGCTCTAACTTTTGTGTCCTCATGTAAGAACTTGCAGGCTTTTCTATCACTAGTCACCACATCAGTCCTGCTATCTGAAGGCCTTCTTGGGCCCCTTTGCACCAATAAGCTCTTTAGTTTCCAAACACAAGTCAACAGGGAGTTAAACATTCACCTCTGAACACAACATGCTTTGGAGTGTGTGTATTAGTGTGTGCCATGTGTGTTTAAGTGCACGCCGTGTCTACCGGGCAGCGCTTGTAGCTGAAGCATCTCAGAGGAGAACAGCTGTTGAACAGCGCCGTAGATATTTGGTCTCATCAGCAGCGTGCCGTTTTAAAGAGCAAAGGAGACATGTCAGCATCCCTAATCACCAACAACACCGCAAAAACTCTCACCCTCCTTCTCCTCCTTCCTCCTTCTCTCTATCTTTCTAATCCTGTAGGACTTTGCTCTCCCCCAGCCACTGTACAACCAGCCCCCATCCCCTGCGAGCACTCCCTGTCCCGCACCAAACCGCTCTGTTGCTAGGAGACTGGAGGGGTTGAGTCGGCTGCCCCCACCCCCGCTGGCAGTCACACACACACACACATACACACTGTAGCAGTCACTGAGGGGAGAGAGGAGCAGTCCTGCACACAGGCAGGTCAGGAGGAAGAGATGGTGGAGGGAGGGAGGGAGTAAAGGGGGGGTTCACGGGAAGCAGCTGGGTCACAAAGACAGGCCGCCAAAGATAGAAGAGATGCATCATACAAGGAATTAGCTGCACGGGTGAATGGATAAACACTCCTGTGACATGCAAAAAATCTCAATTTAGCCTTGCACTTAACTTTAAAAGTCAAGGTGCAACGTTCACATGAATGTGGTGCTTTATTTTGCAAGGTAGGTGCACAATAAGTAGCTTAAGTTGAGGCAG